ACTGAGACGTATAGCTTTAAGCTTATCTTTCCAGTGTGAGGTTTACAGAAAAACCAAATGTCACGCCCCAAAATTTGGACAATTAAATATTAAATTAGGACTAACCTCAATCAATATTCCATCATCCAAATCCTAGGGGTGAAACAAAAAAACTAAAACACCAAACCATCCACCATAAATTCATAACTAACAAATACCTCAACATTAAGGTAGCAACAACTAGTCAAAACAACTTAAATAAAGTACGGTTACAAACCATGCCAAATTATTCCAATACTAAAGTCATAAAAAAAAGTTCATTTCAACCCAAAAATAATGTTTAAACCATAGGTTCAAACAACCCAAAACAAAGGTTCAAATGGCCCAACACAGCAACATGCCAAAAGGTTCAAACAGCCCAGCACAACAGCAGGTCAAAAGGTTAAATGGAAGATATTCAAATTAGTAATGATGGAGTGGAAGATATTCAAATTAGTAATGATGGAGTAAAAGATATTCAAATGAATACAACGGCTATAAATTCAAATGAATGCAACGGCTATAAACGGCTATAAATTCAAGTGAATACAACGGCTATAAACGGGTATAAGTTTTATTATATATACCAAAACCTCTAATGTAAACAAGTTACAAAAGAAATCAAAAAATATTCTTTGATTTATAATCACTCACATCTATTCTCTGAAAAAATCTCTGAGAAGTGTTCTTAAATTTTTGTTTATATCCTCTTTCAGAAATTATACACTGAGACGTATAGCTTTAAGCCCATCTTTCCTGTGTGAGGTTTACAGAAAAACCAGAGCTTCATTTTTATATCTATTTTTTAGAGATAATTCTTGTAGCTTTCTGTGAAAGCAAAAAATACCTTCTTTTTAACCTTGTAAGAGTGTAGTACACTCAGTATTCTTGACTTAGAAAGTCTGTGTAAAATCTGTAGAGGATTGCTTTATCTGTGAAAAGGTTGCTAGCACCCTGTGAAGCTAGAATATAGTGAAAAATCTCAAGTGAAACTTGAGGAGTGGATGTAAGCCGAGTTGAAGCCGAACCACTATAAATTTGTTTGCCTCTCTCTCCCTTATCTCTTTATTTTATTTAAATTTCCATAGCTATATTTCACATTTTCACTGTGCTAAAATCATTAACTGATATAGTTTGTTAGAACACTTGTTTTAATTATTTTTATTTCATTAACTATATTTATCTATTGTGCTAGTCATAATTTTTATTAGGGTATTATTATTTTTATTTGTAAAAACCTAATTCACCTCTCTCTCAGGTTGTCTTTTGGGTAACACATAGTTATATTTTACATTTTCACTGTGCTAAAATCATTAACTAACATAGTTGTTAGAACACTTATTTTAATTATTTTTATTTCATTAACAATATTTATCTATTGTGCTAGTTATAATTTTTATTAGGGTATTATTATTTTTATTTGTAAAAACCTAATTCACCCCACTCTTATATTGTCTTTGGGTAACAAATATAATTAAAAAAATGTAAGTTACAAATAGGCTTGTACACACCTTCTTTTCATAATAAGATTATTTAAATTATTTTTACGTTACAAGTTATAAATAAAAGTTATATTAAATATACTAATATAAATTCTCAAAAATTACAAAGTTATAATTTTTTTTTAATAAATTGTACCAAAGAGGGCAAAAATAAAAAATAAAAATATTTTGTTATAGTGATAACGAGAGCTTTTGCAATAATTTTGTAGAGAGCATTACATAAATTAACAGGACGAAAGTCCTCAGGAGACAGATTTATAAATAATTTCCACTAAAAAAAATGGGCAAGACAGATAAAAAGAAAACGTTATTGCAAGTTTTGATTTTATTGTTACACATACGGAAACATTCATGAATTTATTTATTTATTTATTTATTTATTTATTGTAAATTATTAAATCTTATTGAATTTGAAAAAGTACACCGTTATATCTTTTCACTTTATTTTGTGGAGATTTTAAATGTGATTATGCTTCATTTGTGTACTATTATTTCATTAAATTTTATCATATGTGTTATTCTTTTTAAAATGTGGTAATGAGATATCATTTTAATGTATGTATTATTGTCTCATTAAACTTTTGTCAAATATGTTATTATCAAAATGTGTCAATAAAATATTATTATAATGAGTGTACTATTATCATTAAACTTTCATCAAGTATATCATTATTCTTAAAATGTAGCTATTGGGTGTATATTTTGTAAAAGCCAACTCCAGCTTGACATGTGGCGCGAAAAGGGCAATGTGGGGATTTAGGGTAAGTCTCCAATCAAAGACAGACACGTGGCAACTCATATTGGTATTAGTGGATCTGCATAGCATTGGAACAGTTGAAAGACGCGAGGTGACGTGTCTTAACGGTTGCTTACAATTTAAATTCAAATATAGAAGGGAAGCCTAACTGCAAGAATGGCGTAGTGGGGTTAATAATGAGAGAACATGATCAGCACTCGTAGGAATATATTTCAACAGTTGAAGGCCCACTTCGACGGTTGCCATGGAAAAGTATAAATAGAATATAAGGCCCCAGAATGAAATGACTCAGATCCAGAAACCAGTTTATTTACTTTATATTTATTTCCAGTTTACATTTCTAGTTCTTTACATTTCAGCATTTTAATTTCTATACTATACTTCATTTCTTAGGAGTAGTCTCAAGTAGTTGTTATTGTAAATATTTTCAAGGTTGGGTCATTTCATTGTAAGTTCTTATTTACTCAATGAAATTTAGTTTCTGAATTGTTCTGTACTTGTTATTTCTTATAAATTGTTTCTGAAATAAGCCACCAGCAAAAGTCCTCTTCATTGAGGCTGAAAGAATTTCAACACAATCGTCTGATAATTGGTTGACAATTAAAATTCTGTAAAGACTGATTGATCCTTCCTGGCACGCTCCAAATTACATTATTAACTTTCGAAAGTCAAAAAACCCAACAGTAATAATAAGATTATCTTATTAATTTTTTATTAAATATATGTCTTTCTAATGTGTGCAATATTATTTTAGAGCTGTGATTGGGAGCCCGAATGTGGGAGCCCCGAATGCCCCTAATCAACCAAGAAGAAAGAAGGAAGAAAGAAGGAAGAAGAAGAGAAAGAAGAAGGAGGAGGGGGGGGGGGGCGCATAATTTTAAACCAAAGATGGCTGAAAATTATCAACATGGAGAGGGGGTGAGCATGATTTTAAGCTAAACATAGCTAAAAATTATGAAAAATCCACATTTGTTGAATTTGAATTTTTTAACATTGTTAAAATTGTAAAAAGTTTTGATTTTCTAAAACCATTTTATATTATGGTTTCTGTTGCATAACGACCACCATAGGTTTGTGGTTCACATCAAAAGTTAATTTTGATGAACTGATTAACAAAAACAATATTTTATTGTGGTTTTGAGATAGCTTCATATATATACAGTCACAAAATGGTTTGAATAAATTCAACGGTATTTTTCTGTCGAAAAAAAAAAAAAAAAAAAAGGTCGTTTTGGGCATTCGGGGGATTAGGGGAGCCAAATTCGGGGAAAAAATCATTTTTGATTATTTTAATACTCTTCCAAATATGGATATGTTTTATTTGGAAGATTTTAATGTGAGATAGAACTTATGAGTTGATAAGAATTATAAGATTAATTGATTTATAGGAGCGTCTCTAATGCTTAATTTTTCTTTCGTCAAATTTAAATTTGATGAAAAAAAAGTCTAATTTTAGTACTCCAATCATAACATTAAACCAATATCAAATTGAGGATATTTTAAACTTTTCATTAAATTAAAGATGCTTAGAGCGTTTCATTAAATTTGTAGGCGACTGTTGTGGACGTCATCCTGGACATCCTCTTCCTTCAAAATTATACGGCAGGTTGTGGTCAATTTATACCAAATCGGTCGACTGACCGAACATCCATCCGGTTGTCCTCTTAGTCAATCGATATTTTGATAAAAATTTAAAAATTTTCATTAAAAGATGAAATTTTTACTCAAATTTATAAAAAATAAAAAAATAAAAATAAACGTTGAATATACTCGAAGTCATGAATATATATTAGATTTATTAGGAAATGTCATTCTATTTATCTAATTTTTATTTCTATTTTTTCACATTAAATCGTGAAATTAGTTAATTTTGTTTGAACCCGATGTCCGGGCGAACCAGAAAATGAACCGCCCTACATATTGGGCTCTATTTATTTATTGCCCTCTCCATCTATCTAGGGCAATTTTTAATGTTCCATTTCTATGTCGTTTAGCTGAACGGTAATCTCTCTCTCTCTCTCTCTCTCTCTCTCTGGATTTTATGCAATACATATATGTATGTACTTGAGTATGTGTTGATAATTTAAATGTTGTCATAAGATTCTCTGATTCATCGTTCTGTTTCAGTATATCTTTTCCATGATCTTCAAATCAAGTGAATATTGATAATTAGGTTTCCTTGTGATTTCTGCAGTTTTGGGAATATTGATTAGCATTTGTAGGTCAATTTATATGTGTGCGATCAATTCTGATTCATCGTTCTTCTCCATGATCTTCAAATCGAGTGAATAATGATATTCGTTTTGGTTTAAGAAAGTGTGCAATTTTAGAAGGATTATCCTTAAAAGGATAATTTATGCTTCATTGTGATTTTTACAGTTTGGGATATCAAATAGCAATTGTGGGTCAATGTGTTTAGTAATACTATTAAATTTTGAGTTACTTGTTTTGAGAGACTCGTGCTTACCATTTAGGCAATGCTTGGATCTTGGATTTCCAGAGGAAAAGATAAGAAAATAAATTGAAGGAAAAGAAGCTATTCTTTTCCGCTTTTCGGTTGTGTTAAAACAATGAATATATATATTTATCAAAAAATTCATTTTATTTAGTTTAATTACCCATGAAAAAAAAAGAATTTGTATAGGTAATGTCATTTCCCTTGACAAATACTAGATCCAAGCATAGCATTAATAATTTTAGGAACATCTTTTATTTTTGGTATTACACAACAAATCTTTTAATTTTACATACAATTAATTTCAAGGAAAAGAAGGGGGGGAAGAAAGAAAACCTTTTGATTGTGTTTTGTTTTATACCATTATGCATTTATGATTATGATGTACTTGTGATGTCACAGTTCTTTTCTGGTTGTCCAACAGTTTTCAACAATTGGCCTGTAACCCTATTTCTTCTTTGGTTTGTTGAACAGTTGAGAAAAGTATTAGATGAAGTGTATTGTAGAGGAAAGCTGGTAGGTACATATTGGTTTTGCCATTGAGGGAAGGATGGGAGGTCAAAGCACTTATGTTCCACCAGCTTACATTCCCTTGGGACAATCAGATATAGAAGCTGAGGTTGTTGCACCCAATGATGAAATCCCTGTCTCTGCTCATCCTGGCATAAGCAGTGCCCCTGCACAGTGGTCTTCTGGAATCTGTGCTTGCTGCGATGATCTGCAGAGCTGTATGCTACTTTCTGCCTTGTGACCTTGATTTATCAGAAGGAAAAGAAAATTAATGAAAGGTGCATTTTGAGTAAAAAAATAAAAACAAATGAGTGTTCATCTCCGATAATGTCCATCTCTTGTGCTATTCCTTAAAACATATGGTTTTAGCTTGTAAGGGTTTTCAACAAATCATTGATAGACAAATATGATGAGTAGAAGAATGATTGATAGGTAAAGAAGAGGGAAAAAAATCAAAAGGAAAAGAGAAGAAAATTCAGCATTGAAACCGAACTGATGTATGGTAACATTTGAAAAGTTTAGAATAACGCTATCTACAATCAGTTATTTCATGGGAGTAATTAGAATTGAGTGGTTTTAACTTTGATGATGCTTGATGTTAGGAAGAAGAATGGTTTTTCAATAGAATAGGGATATAAGATACGATATTTCATGGTTATTAGTAGAGATATTTCTAGAATAGACTTTGCACATTTCCCTAACTCATTTATGGCTGAGATTAAGGTAAAGAAAAGTAGATTATCTCAAAACGGTCGGGCTGACCACTCACTTTTTATTTTATAAATAACCACAAAGTTCATTTTGGTATATCATCAAAACCAAACCAAACTAAGCATTGTGTCCCAAAAAGGTGGGGTTGGCTATATGGATCATTTTTTGCCATTTTGTTATGTCGAGGATTGTATGCCTAGTTAAATTTAAAAATATTTTTTGATAGACTTGCTCATCAATTCTTATATTACAATTTATGTGTTACATTACAACCAAGTGATTTTATTTTGTTTCCAAAAGATAATGCAGATGATTGACTGTTAATAATTATATTCCCCTTTTGCAACAACTCACTATTGTTTAGCACTTAGCTTTTCTAATTGCAGTCATAGTGGATTGACTTCCTTTTTTTTATACAATTTAACTAGTCCGAGTTGTATATTGGATGTGATTTCTTTCTCTTTTTTCTAATAAGAGTTTGGTTTTGAGACCATTGGAATGCAATGATCCTCATTGCTATGACAGGGAAACAAGTCCTTCTACATCACTGTTGTGGTATCAAGTCCATTTGCCTTGAGCATGTGGTGGGTCAACTAGTTTAAGAAAATTTGAGCAAACAAGGTATTCTTCCTAATTAGAAGTTCAACTAATTTCTAAAAAGAATAAGACTTCATAAACTTCGAAGCCTAGTGAGTATCAAACTCAATACCAATTAACTCTGTCAACCGATTTCGTCATGTAAAGAACTAATTACTTGATGACTAGAATGGATATTTTTAGTTAGACGAAGGTGCTTCTTCATTGGCATTTTGGTGAAATTTTCGTTTGCACTTTGAGAGAGGACGTGTCAACTTAAACCTTGTAATGGTTACTGCCATCATGCAATTGGGTACTGGCTTCAATGTTTTAAATCATACTCTCAAGAGGATATGACTTAGTTTTACTAAATGTTCTATTTTCCTCTTATGGTAGCAAACAATGAACCCATCAACTAATAACTTGGAAATTGTAAACTAATTGTGTTTTTATTATCCATTTTTTTTCCCAGGTTGTATAGGTCTTGTATGCCCCTGCTTTCTTTTTGGAAAAAATGCAGAGTTTTTGGGATCTGGAACTTTGATAGGATCATGCATGACCCATTTCATTTTGTGGGCTCTTGTGAATACTGTTTGTTGCTTGTTAACTGATGGCATTCTTTTGGGGTTGCCTGGATGCTTTGTTGCATGTTATTCCTGTGGCTATCGCAAGGCACTGAGGGCAAAGTATAACCTGCAGGTATGCCATTTTCATTGTGCTTGATATTCAGGTACTTTAATGCTATTTTGTTGGGCCAAGACTCCTGTCTTTATCTTCTTAATGATTGCCTTATATAATTTCCCACCACTCCCACATGTTTTTCCAATATTACTTCATGTAAATTTAATTTTTGGTTAGCAATCACAATCCCATTCCTATTCTTTAGATTCCCTAGAAAATTATAATTTCAATTTAGGCATTTAGGCATTTAGTGTATTGAATTATAATTTTTATGTAATTTCTATTCCTAAAGTAGTGTTTATAATTTAATATAATTTCGAATTTCTTTTAGTCTCCTCAATAAGTTTAGTCTCCTTATAAAGTAAATTGTTTATTTTGTTGATCTCTTTTATTTTTCATAGGTACTAAAATACTTTCTCTACTCATCATGCCTTTTTCTTATGGGTCTTGCTAACAAGTGTCCAAGGTGCATAAGGAAAAGACAAAAAATATGTAGATCCCAAGATACTTCTCACTAAATCCAATACACTATTTATGATTTCAAAAAACTTTTTCTCACATTCCCAATATGTAGCCTCAGAGCTCTCCCCATTTTCAATTTTGTTAATGCAATCCTTGGTTTCACTGTCTCTTGTTGATTTCAAATGCAGGAGGCACCATGTGGAGACTTCGTGACTCATTTTTTCTGCCATTTGTGTGCCGTTTGTCAAGAATACAGGGAAATCCATGAAAGGTCTGGTGATTCTGGTTCCCCTGATCTATCTTTGGTGGCAGTCAAAGCTCCTCCGGTCCAGACGATGGAACTGGCTTCCACCAAATAATGATCTTTTACCTATTTTTCTTCTATCAAATCATAGTGCATTTATATCTTGACTTGATCACTCTATCCTCTACCAGAGTTTATTACTCAAGCCTGTTGTTTCATTTTTCATCATGTTCATAGTGTGGTCAGTTGAGTTTGTGTAAATGTTGTACAAGCTAACAAATCTACCAAACATTTTTTACTTGCTGACGTGGCATTGATCATATCATGAAGCCGGTCATGTTTCATTTTTCGAAGTTTTTGTGCAACACATCAGTTAGTAAAAAAAATTTGTAAGATTTGTTATTTTTGTATAATTTTTTTTTTTTTTGTTGTTGAGTTTTTTTATTATGCGTGTTTTCTAACATTACATTGTCATATGGATATGGGTGGTGATGTCTATATATGTAAGATTGTGAGTTGTATTCTCATATAAAGGTTTCTTCATTTTTACATTTTAATTTTTTTTAAACTACAAGGGTAAATTTGTACTAATTTCATAAATCCAAGTTGTGTGGTATGCAAATCACACTGACCATATTTTACTTGGTTTAAAAAAAAAATAAAAAAAAATTAGAAAGTGACTTTGATAATTTAAGTCTGTTTTATTATTATTATTTTTTTTCAAAAAAAAAATTGTCAACTGAATGCCCCAGGAAAGTATAAATGTTATGATTTTCAACCCCATAAAAGAATGTCGTGTAAAGGAACTAAATTTTAGTAGTATACAAATTATGAGACTTCAACCCCAGAGGATTTTTTCTTTTTTAAGAAAAAGTAGTTGTACAAAGTGTCTTGAAAGGTGTCAATGGTTCTTTACTCAATTTTTAGTGTTTTTTTTTTTTTTTATTATAATTTTTTAAAGAAATCTCATGTGAAGTGCATGATTGGGATCGCATTGTGCAACAAATAGAATCGGGTAAGTAAAGTTAGTTTAGTTTTAGTGGTATGTATCTTGCTGTGCAAGTAGAGTCACATTATGTGGCAAGTATAACCAGTTTCATATCACAAAAATCATCAAAATATCTTCTTGTGTTTTATATCCGATTTCACTCATTACCAATTTGATTTCTCAGTTTATTCATATCCATGTTTACTCTAAAATGTCACTCTCTGTTTCTCTCTCTCAGTCACTATCCTAATACACCCCAAATTAGGATACGATTGTAACTGGCCCGTTGTCACCAAGTACTAAAGGCCTAATTGTATAAATAGCAGAAGCATTCATAATTAAACATGTGTAACAACTGGAGCATATGCCAACTCATGGCTTGAGTACAACAACCTCATTCCATACGTTGAGTACAAGTCAAGAGACTGACATGTTTCAATATGTAGAGTCCTCCAAAAAACTGGAGCATGGAAACAAGCAAGTCTTCAACATAACATGTATAAATATAGTCGATAAGGGAAGTTCATTCCTCAAGGCTCATCACTCGTATACATAGTGACATAAAATCTCAACAAATAATGGTATGCGAAGCGGTTCATTTGTCTTGAACATCCCAACTCGGGTTCTTCCAAGAGCACATACTAAAAATCATGTATGTATACTGAAACAAAGAGCTTTAACAACAAGCCAAATCATACATTTGAATAATGTAAGTATGCATATATCATATATCAAATACATCAGTAATGCTCATCCAAATGGAACTACTACAGAGGGCTAACCAGGTAGACAATAATTGAAAAGATACAAAACCATTATGCACAAGCAACCAATCTAAGTTCACATATTAATGTTCGCATTGTTATATTTCTTTGAATTGGTAGACATGCGATGTGATTCAGATGTTTCTAGATTTTCAGCTTGAGCTCATATTAGGATCAAGCTTTGCATCAATTACACAACAGGAAAATTTGTCAATCTGAAGTTAGCGGCTGCTGTGCTCCATTTTCTTCTGCATTCTGCGGCATTTTATCCCCATTTTCAGTGGGCTCAGTCAGTTTTCTTTCAGAAACCAGCTGCCCAACTTTTACATATTTCTCCATAAATTTATATTCCCAGTCCTGCAAAACTTCAAGCTCAGAAGCACTGAGACCTTCAATGTTTCCAGTAAGGTCTTGACGATCGAATGACATAAGAGCTAAGGCTCGGCTTGCATCCCTTCCAGCAAACAAAGCATATGGCCCACCAGGACCATAGAACATCCTGCACGTAAGGTGAAGTCAAATCAGGAACTATCTTTGGATAACAATTGAAAGGGCTATAAATATTTAATTTCAAGAATGAGCAATCAGTATACATGCAAAGAATTCCACCATTGCAATGCAAGGTAACTGCAAAAGGTACTCTATAAAGTTCCAGTTTCTCGTATACTCTGTTCATTCAATTTCCCTACGCATTTATCTTTTTTCAAAGAATTTCAGCAACAACATTATTGTTAATTTACAAAAAAACAAAAAGACAAGAAAACACATAATGCATTGTATGTAGATAGACAATTAAGATATTTTAACAATTTTATCCAAATCGCTCCCTTTCACACCATTTATCACCTCCTCAATCAACAATGGGAAAGAACACGGTACATACTACCTTATAACTATAGACGAAAATGACATAACTTTATATTTTTTAAGTCATAACTAACCAAATTCAAAAAAATCCTAACCAAACACAAAAAAATTATAACCAAATATGTCAAAATAATGTCATAACTAAAGAGAAAAATTGAACATATCTACAGAAAAAAATGACGTAACTAAGGTGCATATGGTATTGTGTATCATAGAATTCTCCATCAATAATAACAATTTTCCTTCTGTCCATTTCATCTTTTTTATAGCCCCACAATCCCAACGAGCTGATAGAAATCGAAGCTTTGCACTCCAATAATTGAGGCATCGACAATATGAGTTCTCGTTCTCTCCATTTCTTTTCTTTTTTCTTCTCACAAACCCCTTAACCCCTTAATCCAAACGAGCTGAATCAGCATGCAGCCCAATAAAAGAGGCGACATGAAGTGCTTCACCCCCTAAACCCTAAAATCTTAAGACATCTCAAACTTACTATCAAATTTAAATTTGGGTAAAAATCACTCAAAACCTCTTTACTCCTAGACTCTCAAACTTATATTAAGTTGAGTTTTAAACATCTTTTTACCCAAATCAAGAGAGACTTGAATGTTTACCCAAATCTTTCAAAGACCCATTTTGTAGCTAAATTTATGCTTAAATATGAGTTGGTCAGTGTTTCATATCAAATAAAGGTCTACTCAAATTTTACTTAAATTCGAGTAAAATTTTGAATAAGGGCTATAGATGGCCTTAAATCCTAAATCTTTGGCCCTATTTGTTTTCAAAGTAGAATGAAAGGGATTGATAGAGAGAGATTGTTAGTGAAGGGATTAATAGTGAGGAGATTAATAAAATTATATTTGTTTTTGGTAAAAATTGAAGATTGTTAAATTATTTTTATATAAAATAATAAAATAAATAAAATTATGATTTTTACTTTAAAAAATATAAAAATATTAAACATTAATGTTTAAAAAAAATGCCAACAAGTTTTGAAAAAAAAAATCTCTTGACTGGTTGACCGGACTTCTGGACAGACCTGCAATAACACCAATCCGAACGGACTACTTTGTCAATAACATCTCCCAGTCCGGACTACTAATACCCTCACCAAGGCCTTATCATAGTCCATTCAGGCTACGAATTCGAATCCAAAACAAACAAACGGAAGCTTTGTTCACTGTTCATCTATCACAGTCCGGATAACAAACAGGGCCTTAAGGGGACTAGGTGGGTCCAAATTTTCCTTCATTTTCTAAGAAACCAAACAGGATGGTCAAACAGCTTGACAGACAAATAAACCAGGAATGATGATCATGAATTGGAACCAACCTAGAGCGAGATACATCGTAAGATCTGTCTTTGATGGCCATCAACAAGGGCTTTTCAGGATCAGAACCGTCATAGGCTCGGAGCTCCTCCTCGGTCACATCTCCCAACTGGACTGGTTCCCGGAGAGCGTAGGCGTTGGCCTTCTTCACGGCGGTGTAGTCCTCCACAGCTACAAACATCCCACACACACCTTGTAAACCACCACCATCGCCGCCAGGATTGTGAAGAACGCCGCCGGAGACAGCCCCGTGTACTCCGTGATCGCACCCATCGCCGCCGTGTACATACCCCTCTTAATTGTAGAATCGATTCAGATTCAATTCAAATTCAATGACTGTGTTTTAGAGAGAGAGAGAGAGAGAGAGAGAGAGAGAGAGGGGGGTTGGGGGAGGAAGGGGTGGTTGTTCGAGTGAAGACGAGAGAGGGGATATAGGTAAGCCATTGAAACTCTCACCTACCGAATTTTGACACTGTCAAGAAAAAGAAAAAAGAAAAAGGAACAAAAACAAAAATAAAAAAAAAAGAGATTAACGGTGTGTTTGGTTTATGTTTGTAGAGTAATTTTTGAGATAAAAATATGAAAATTTATTTTGATTTGTCTTTTTTCATAAATGGTTTTAAAAAATTGCTTCGGAGAGAATTTTAAAAAAAGTGATTCATTTGATGTGTATGAAAGACAGAGGGTGATTTTGGAAATAAGTAATCAAACAAAATTTTTGATATTTTTTTGAAAAACTTATTTGGTTTGATTATTCTTGAAAACTTGTTTGTAGATAATTTTTCTTAAAATTTTTCTAAAAAACAAATCAAACAGAGCCTAAATTTTTTTTTGTTACTTTTTAATATTTTTTAAAGACACTAAAGTCAAAATTTTAATTTTCTAATTTTCGTGATAATAGCTCCAACTTTATTAGAAGTAATTTACGGGGAATTTTTTTTAAGATCCATAATAATAATAATTTAGAGGATAAATGACCAACAAAAAAATAGTGATGCATCAGGTTCCTGAACAACTTGGCGCGCATTTTTAATTATTTTGTGGACCAAAATACCCTTCCCAATCAACACAGAAACGAAACTCATTCCGACGTCTGAGTTCCATTCCAAGAATCCACCATATTTCACGAACAAGAGAACAGCAGAACTAGGATTTCAATTTCATCTTACATCGACATAGAGTTTCGTTATCTTTGCAAAATAATTCTCATTCATTCCTCACAAATTTTTCTGACCTTGTTTTCACTGTTCATCGTTCATCGTCATCTCAGTTCATCTTCGTCACGTCGTATCTTCATCTCAGGCCATATCAGTTCATCATTCAAGTTTCATCCTAACTCTGGTAAGTTTTTATACAATACAACCAGATTTTCTCTGGAAATACAGTTAATTTGCATTTTATATTAACCTTCCATGAATTAGGGTTTCAATTTCGTAATAAAAAGCTACCTGAACTTGAAAAAA